TCCTGCTGCAGGATCCCTGTGTCCCCGCTGTGCCACAGCCGGTGTCCCCACATCCCCCCGGGGTCCCTGTGTCCCCCTCGCTCCCCCCCAGCTCCAGGGTCCCCCATCCCCAGGCTGGTGGCAGCCCCGGGGTCCCCTCTGTCCCTGTCCCCCGGTGCCAGCCCTGGTGTCTCTGTCCCTGTCCCATGACAGTCTGGGGCTCCGTGTCCCCACGCAGGTACCAGCCGCTGTCCCCCCCGCAGCAGCCTCGGGATTCCTGTCACCCCTGGTGCCCTTGAGTGCCCCCAAGCCAGGCTCAGGGTCCCCGTCCCCCCAAGGTYCCCATCTACCCCCCAGCAGCGGGGGGTCCCCACTGCCCCCCATGTCCCCATGTCTCCAACCTCAAGGTGTTGGGGGGGACACAAGTGCTGCCCATGTGGAAACCAAGGCCTGGGGGGGCCCAGGCGTCCGGCCAGGCGGAGCAGCGAGCGCGGGAAGCACCGCACCCCCCCCGCCACTGCCAGCCCCCCCAGTGCTTCCCGGCAGCGGCGACCGCGGCCGCCCCGCTCCGGACGCCGCTAATCCGGGCCCTGGAAGCGGCCCAGGCGCCCGGCACGCACCCGGCACCGGCCGCGCCCCGCGACGCTCCCCTCGTGGCCAAAACCACACGTTTATTTAACAAACGCACGACGGGAGCGACGCTGAGCGCCGGGGCGCGGGCCTAGGAGACGAGCACGCCGGCGGCGGCGGCCTTGGCGGCGTCGGCGGCGTCGCGCGGCGCCCGCGGCTCCTCCTCGCCCACCAGACGGATGTTGTGCAGCTCGCGGAAGTCGCTCAGCTCGCGGCCCTTCGCCTGCAGCTGCTGCGTCAGCGTCTCCAGCAGCCGGCCGATCTGCGGGGAGAGACGGGCGCTGCAGGCGCGGCGCGGCGCGGACGGGACGGGGACGGGATCGGGACGGGGCGGCCCCTCACCTGCTCCTTGTTGCTCTCCAGCGCGGGCAGCACCTCCTTGACCGTGCGCTCCACCAGGACGCCGCCCACCATGCGGTAGCAGCGGCGCGCGGCCTCCACGGCGCGCAGCGTCTCGATGACCAGGCTGCGGGCAACGCGGTCAGCACCCCGTGTGGCCCCGGCGTCACCGGGGGTGTCCGGCACAGACACCACGTGTGGCCCCGGCGTCACCAGGGGGCATTGGGCACAGACACCCCATGTGTACCTGGTGTCACCAGGGGGCATTGGGCACCGACACCCTGTGTGGCCCCGGTGTCACCGGGGCATCGGGCACTGACAACCCGTGTGTACCCAGCGTCATTGGGGGGCGTTGGGCACCAACATCCCGTGTGGCCCCAGTGTCACCGGGGGGCATTGGGCACTGACACCCCGTGTGGCCCCGGCGTCACCGGGGGGCATTGGGCACCGACACCCCGTGTGGCCCCAGTGTCACCGGGGGGCATTGGGCACAGACACCCCGTGTGGCCCCGGTGTCACCGGGGGGCATTGGGCACAGACACCACGTGTGGCCCCGGTGTCACCGGGGCATCGGGCACAGACACCCCCATGTGGCCCTGGTGTCATCGGGGGGCTTTTGGCACCAACATCCCGTGTGTACCCGGTGTCAGCACAGGCATCGGGCACCAACACCCCATGTGTACCCGGTGTCACCGGGGGGCATTGGGCACAGACACCCCGTGTGGCCCCGGTGTCACCGGGGGGCATCGGGCACAGACAACCCGTGTGTACCCAGTGTCACCGGGGGGCATTGGGCACTGACACCCCGTGTGGCCCCGGTGTCACCGGGGGCATCGGGCACAGACAACCCGTGTGTACCCAGCGTCATTGGGGGGCGTTGGGCACCAACATCCCATGTGGCCCCAGTGTCACCGGGGGGCATTGGGCACTGACACCCCGTGTGTACCCGCTGTCACCGGGGGGCATTGGGCACTGACACCCCGTGTGTACCCGCTGTCACCGGGGGGCTTTGGGCACCGACACCCCGTGTGGCCCCGGTGTCACCGGGGGGTGTCAGGCGTGTGGACACCTCATGTGTCCCCGGTGTCACCAAGGCAGATCAGGTGCCGACACCCCATGTGTACCCGGTGTCACCGGGGGGTGTGAGGCGCCGCATGGACACCTCGCGTGTTCCCAGTGTCACCAAGGGACAGGACACACCACCCGCCTCGTGTGTCCCCAGTGTCACTGAGGAGCATGAGGTGCCACCCCCCTTGCCTCACGTCCCCTGGTGTCACCAAGGAGCGCGAGGCGCCACCCATGACACCTCGTGTGTCCCCTGTGTCACCGAGGGGGCGAGGCGACACCCATGACACCTCGCGTGTCCCCTGTGTCACCGAGGGGGCGAGGCGCCACCCATGACACCTCGTGTGTCCCCTGTGTCACCAAGGAGCGCGAGGCGCCACCCATGACACCTCGTGTGTCCCCATGTCACCGAGGGGGCGAGGCGACACCCATGACACCTCGCGTGTCCCCCGTGTCACCAAGGGGGCGAGGTGCCACCCATGACACCTCGCGTGTCCCCTGTGTCACCGAGGGGGCGAGGCGCCACCCATGACACCTCGTGTGTCCCCGTGTCACCGAGGGGGCGAGGCACCACCCATGACACCTCGCGTGTCCCCTGTGTCACCGAGGGGGCGAGGTGCCACCCATGACACCTCGCGTGTCCCCCGTGTCCCCGAGGGGGCGAGGTGCCACCCCGGAGCCTCGCGTGTCCCCGGTGTCACTGAGCAGCAGGAGGTGCTGTCCCTGACACCTCGTGTGTCCCCCGTGTCCCCGAGGGCCGTGGGTCGCCGCCCCCCCCGTGTCCGCCCGGCCCCGCCGCGTGTCGCCGCTGCCACCTGTGCTCGTTGAGCTCCAGCTCCAGCTCGGCCGCCTTGGACGCCAGCCCGCGCTGCTCCTGCCGCAGCCGGTTGAACCGGGTCACGAC